TTGCAAGACAAGTCCTGTTTACTCCTTCTTCTCTCCTCAAGCTGAAGGAAGGAGCTTCTTTCAGAGCTGTGAGTTGCACTGCCTAGGATTGGGAAAGGGGTGGTGCAGTCATCCCCTTGGCTGTCTCAGCAGGTCATGCCCCTCAGGTCCACTGGCTCCAAGCGCTAGGACGTGACGAGGAGTTGTAATCCTTGTGGCTTATATTGCCTTTCAAGTTTATTTAGAACCTCAGAGCCCTTTGGCCTGTGGTGATTAGGCTTGCTGAAACTCAAGTTCAGTAATTGGGATGGATGATTCCCCTCTGGCGAGGGCTGGTCTAAATTCTCCCAAATGGGTATTAGCTGAGTTCTGCCTGGTGTTGCTCTCCATGGTAACAAGGCAACACTGAGTTCTAACACAGTCCTACAATCACTACATTCTCTCTACACAGATTCTCTGTGCCATGCGGCTGCTGCCAGGGAGTGGGGAGGGATGGCTCTGGCAATTCAAGACCATCTGTCCTACCCTCTTCAGTGCCCTTTCAGTAATATAAAGTTAAAACCAGGTACTGCCAGGCGCAGTGGCTCATGCCTTAATCCCGGCACTTTGGGAGGCTGAGGCAGACAGATCACAAGGTCAGGAGTTCAAGACCAGCCTGGCCAACATGGTGAAACCCCGTCTCTACTAAAAACACAAAAATTAGCTGGGCATGGTGGCACGTGCCTGTCATCCCCGCTACTTGGGAGGCTGAGACAGGAGAATCCCTTGAACCCGGGAGGCAGAGATGGAGTGAGTCAAGATTGTGCCATTGCACTCCAGCCTGGGCAACAAGAGCGAGACTCCATCAAAAAAGAAAAGAAAAAACCCAGGTACTGCAATCACTCACCTGATTTTTGGTTCTAATGAAGGTGCATTTTTTGTGTAGATAATTGTTAAATTTGGTGTTCCTGTGGAAAGATCACTGGTAGAAGCTTCTATTCTGCCTTCTTGCTCTGCCTCCTGCATTTTTGACACTTTTTTTACTCAGAAATAACTAGAAGAGTGGACTATGTGTACCCAAGAGTTTTTGTTTCTCTGTTGTTCTATAATTAGATAACTTCACTTCTTAAGCTCTTTCCTTGCAACTATATTGAGCTGCTACCAGGTCAACAGTGAGGCCATTGTGATGGTCTTTGTAGTATTCTAGGGATAGGGCCCACAGAGGCAGAACCGAACTAAGAACACTCAGATTCACGGAGGTACTTTCCATGTTTCCCTGTTTCTTTGAACACCTTTCCCATGCATGAGGAATTTCCCACATTATGGGTTCCTCATCTTCCAGGCACAAACCAGAAAACTCACTTTCCCATGTAGCTGCAGTACAGACACATGAGCTGGGCTCTACCAATCAGATGCAAAATAAAGATAATTTTAATTCTAAGTAGAGAAAAGAGAGAAAGCAGGCGTCATGCAGAATCCATTTCCTGGCAAGTGTGGCCACAGAAGCAGCCTGCTCTTGGGGGCAGCAATAGTGGGGGTTGGGCAGCAAAGGTGCCATTTGAGATGCCTGTGTCCATGGCAGTAGTAGAGGCATTGCCACTGGACAGTGGCCACCATTCCTAGGTGAAACTGTCTAAGCCTAATTCCCTGGTCCTCCCAGTGGTTCCATAAGCTAGGTAATGTCCCATAATAGATTCCTCCCTGCTCATACAGGATAGAGAGGGTTCTGTTGCTTGCACTGAGAGTCCTGAATGAATCAGTCCTGAATGAATCACCCACTGTATTAGTCAGAGTTCTCCAGAGAAGTAGAACCAATTGAATATATGTATATTATTATTATTATTATTATTTTATTTCCAATAATCAAATAATACAGGGGTTTGTGTATATTTGATTGTTGGAACTCAAATAATAATATACATATATTCTATTGGTTACATGTATAGGATGTGCAGGTTTGTTACATAGGTAAACATGTGTCATGGTAGTTTGCTGCACAGATCATCCCATTAACTAGGTATGAAGCTCAGCATCCATTACCTATTCTTCCTGATGACCCACTTCCCACCCTCCAGCAGGCCCAGTGTGTGCTGCTCCCCACAGTGTGTCCATATATTCTCATCATTCTGCTCCCACTTATGAATGAGAACATGCAGTATTTGGTTTTCTGTTCCTGTATTATTACTGAGAGAGGTAGAAATATATATATATATTTATTATATGTCCTATAATGAAATATATATATATATATTTAGTCTTGAATATATATATATTGTCTTGTATACATGGAGGAGATATATATATATATATATACACACATATATGTCCTCCATATCCATGAGTATGTATATATATGTGTGTGTGTTTTATATATATATACCTCTCCTCCATATCTGTAGATATAGATATAAATATAGATACAGATCCTCCATATCCATGGATTCCATATCTGTGAATTCAACCAACTGCAGATCAAGATATTCAAAATAATACAAAGAAAAGTACAGTGTAAAAACTAGCATTTACACTGTCTTAGGTATTATAAGCAATCTAGAGATGATTGAAGGTATACAGGGACTGTACATGGGTTATATGTAAATACTGTACCATTTTATATAAGGACTTGAGGAACTACAGATTTTGATACCTATGGAGATCCCTGAAGCAGTTCCTCACAAATGCCAAAGGATGGCCCTACATAGCTTTATTTTAGTCATTGACTCGCACAGTTGCTGGGGTCGGGAAACCTGAAACCCATGGGGCAGACTAGCAGGCTGGAAGCTCAGGCAGGAGTCAACAGCTACAGTCTTGAGGCAGTTTCTTCTTTTCCAGGAAACTGCAGTTTTTGTCCTTAAGGTCTTTCAACTAATTAGGTGTGGCTCACCCAAATTATTTAAGTAATCTCCTTTATTTAAAGTCAACTCATTGTAGATGTTAATTATATCTACAAAATACCTTCACAGCCACACCTAGATTAGTGTTTTATTAAACAACTGGGTGCTACAGCCCAACCAAACTGACAAATAAAACCAACCATCAGAGCCACCAAATCAGAACTCCAGGGACAAGTGTTCAAATTACAAGCATTAAGGTTCTTCACTCTGAAGAAGTTTCTTGGTGCGTTTAGCCTGTTTCCTTTTGTAAAACTTTCACGTGCAGTTGTCCACACTAAGCAAAGTCTACCTAATCTAGGCACCTGCATTCAAGAGATGAATACCTCTAGAACCCATCCCATTCTCCCATCCTCAAAGCCCTTCCTCTGGCCCCAGCTGCCATCAGCTCCTGAATGGACCACAGCTGCAGCCTTCTCAGTTCTGCCAGCTTCCTGTCCTTCCTGCTCTGCTGTCGTCCACCCTTCCTGAGAGTGCTCTTTCCAAAACATTTGTCTGATTATATCTTCACTGATTAAAAGTCCCTCCAGCCCATTAAAGTGCTTGTGTCACTCAGTCCAGCAGCTATAAAGGCTTGATTACAAGCCACAGACACAAACTCCAACCGATTTAAGCAAAAGAGGAGTTCCTGGAATAGGCCACTGGATGGAAGGAAAAGCTAAAGTCTTCAGAAGGGCAGGAATCCAGGCTGCCCTGGGGATCTCAGAAGCGGGAACAAATGGGCCATCTTGTCAGACCCAGCTGCTGGGATGAATCAGCGTCAATGACCTCAATCTCCAAGGGCCAGTTTTGAAGGAGAGGGTGTCTGATTGCCGGGGATTGATTCACAGGCCCACCCCTTGGCCAGAATGCACCCCTGATAGAACCACCAAGACTGAAATTAATAAGAGAGGAGAGGACTCTCAAGCAAAGTGAGAGGTATTAGTAGAAGAGGAGAAATAGAATCTGCAAGCAAGGACAGGGCACAACCTCTTATGGACACTTCCGAAGGATCTTTCTGCGTCAGAGCAACTGCGAGAGCAGGGAAGGATTGCATTCCCTGCATTCAACAGAGACCAGAAGGAATGATGGGAGCAGTTTCCAGCCAACTAAGGAGAAACAGGAGTTTCTGGACTATAAGACAGGAGACTTAACCCCAAGGACTGTCAGACCAAACTCCTATTTCCCCTGGGCCGTAGATCTTCCTGCTAAGCCCAGTGTGGATCATGAAGGACCTTCCCTCAACCTCTCATTTTACCACTCTGTCTCTTCTCTCTCTGCTTCCTATAGAGGTCCTGAGAAAAAGGTCTGGGGGCTGGAGTGGAGGGACAGGGGACTGTCTGCCCTGAGATCACTGCTATTTGGCTTCTGGTCTTGAGTGCAGTAGGGGAGGACAGAGCAGAGGGAGTTAGAAAGGAAGTCACATTCACCTTGCATATATCTTATTTCATTGTTTCCCTATTTATTGTCTGTTTTTCTGCCACTAGAGTGTGAGCTCCCTAAGGGCAGAGCCTTGTCTGTATTGATTACTCACTGCTGTGTCTCCACACCTGTTACAGGAACTGGCACACAGTAGGCACTTAGGAAACCACACGTTTGGGACTGAATGGTAGGCTGAATACAAGGTGGAGGCTACATTCCACCATTCTGTCTCTGACCCTGAGCCAGACAGGCAAGATCAGGCCTGCAATTGAATCAACCCAGGAATCAAGAGTAGCGCAAACTCTGGACTCAGCCTGAGCTCTGAGGCTGCTTCCTTGGTTTTGAAATGGAGATTATACCACCCACTTCACACTGTTGGTGTGAGAACAAATGAGAATTAAAAGTGTGAAATTGGCACACAGTATGTGCTCGCCTCCCTGGTGCCTCCTCTGTTGTACGCTCTGTAAGGAGGAAATTGTTTTAATCAGATGGTGGGAACTGAATGTTACATCTCCCAGGGCTGGGGCAATGGGTATTTTAGGAGAGCATCCTGAAAAAGCCAGTGCCTGGCCCACAGGGAGAAATGAAGCACGACTGGTAACACATCTACACAGTAATGGGCCCAAGGATCCCAGCGGAGTCTCGTGCTGCAAACTCTGGCACACCTAGCTTCAGCCAGGAGAAAGGCTAGCCACATTCCTGTGTTGCCTCTGCTTTGGGGGATGGAGCCAAAAGAGATATGTAACAGGCAACTTTAGAAAGTGAATTTTATTAGCTTCATGAGAAACAGCTGCCATGAGTCAAGACCTGGATGGGGACAGAGCTCTGGTAGCTTCCAACCAATGGCATGAATAAAACCCACCTGTTCTCTCTACATCCTCAGAGCAGGATGTAACGGGGGTCCCAAGATGAAAACGCCACCTCCTTCCCCCCCACCCCCAAGTGCAGGCACAGATTCAGGGAATACATTCTTGTTGGACATTCTTGATCTTCCGCTCTATGATATCTCACTAAATAGGAAAATGAATCAAATCCACATTCTAGACATTCAGATGCTGACTGATTTGGGATAGAAGCCACTGTTCTGGATCATCAGCAGCCAGGAACACAAAACTCTGAATCACCAATCAGAAAGTCAAGATTCTGGAATGCAAAATAAGAACCCCAGAATTTTCCAGAAGACTTCATCAGGTGCTCCACATTCTAGAATGCCGGTGTTACAAATCAACCAGCAATCTGACATTCTAGGTTGTCAACTAAGAACCCAGTATTCTGGCAGGCCAAATGAGAACCGCTCCTAACCATCTGAAGGGCTAACAAGGAATTCGGCATTATGGAAGGACAAACAGAATCGCAATAGTGCAGATAATGAGTGAGACTCAAAAATTCTAAATGTCAACCCCAACACTCACCATGCCAAACCAGAAAACGAGCATTGAAGACTATCAACCCTGGCCTCAGCACTCTGGAATGACAAGCACAAAGCTCTCCCCTCCAGAACACTGCTTTCCTGCCCCTCAGAGTTCTGTGGACGGTCGCTCCATAGCAGGCCCATCATCCTGACTGCCATCCGGCACGCGGAAGGAAACGTAGGGACAGGTCTTGGTGTTAAGGCAGACCAGCTTCCTCAGTGTGGCCGTCTTGACAATGTTAAAGCCCATCTCACCGCCAAATGTGCTTGGCTTCCAGTATTCCGGAGAACAGATGGGATTCCCTAGGAGACCCTTGAGGGAAAAGGGAGCCCCAATCTCTATCATACTCTCCCCAAAGATAGAGTTCGGATGGCACTTTTCAAGAAGCAGCCCAGGATAGAACTCCAACGCATCAATGTCTCCATACAACTCCTCCAATTCCGCTGCCATCTCCTTCTCTCCTACAAGCAGAAAAGGGGAAAAAGCTAGCATCAGATCCATGATGCCATTAAGGTCAACCTGGGGTGGGACCCTTCCAGGTCCACCTTTTTCTGGGGATAACAGGGACTCCAGAAGAATAACTTGAGCCACTGAGCATGTGCCCCAGAATTTGGCCTGGTTGGTACTGGAGAAAAGGGTCAAGAAGAAAAGCACAAATTGCCCCTCCTCAGGGACTGGGTCTAGGAAAGGAAAATGCCACTAAAGAGAAAGTCTGGGGCCTAGATCTGTCACCAAACAGCCTATAACCTTAAGCAACTCAACCCACTTCTCTGGGCCCTAATTACCTGATCATTACAGAAGGGAGAATGCTCCCCATCTTGCCTCCTTCATAGGCAGATTTCAAGACCTTAACGTGGGCCAAGCCCTTTCATTACTAGAGCTCAAAGATGTAACATGTCCGATCTCAACAGAAATTCAGTGGCAGTGTTCCTTCTGCCCCTGGGGACCATTTGTCATGGGAGATTAAAGAATAACAAAGATTGCTGTTCCAGGATCACAGGAAACTCACCCACTGATCCCACAATCTGCTCCACTCTGCAGTACCCACATGTTCACCATAGTGGCCAAGAGGAGACAGATGTGCAGCTTCCCTGCTTCCCTGCCCGGTTCCTCATATCCGTCCTCCAGTGGGAACTCTCACAGGCCATGTCACACCCTGCTTCAGTGGCTCCCCATTATATGTGACAAGGGTTGGCAACTTGGCTGCCCAACATCTGAGGATCTCAGGGGAAATATGTGTATATGTGTGTGTGTGTGTGTGTGTAGATGTATAGATAGGTATATGTATATATTGATGTATATATATATAGATATACTCTATTCATATACAAATACATATTCATATACATATTCATATGTATATATACTCTATTCATATGAATATACAGATTCAGGGCACCATCCAGGCTGGTTGAACCAGAATCTATAGCAGAGGCATCTGAGATTTGGTATTTTAATCAGTTTTTTAAATGATTCTTATGCAGCTGGCCCATAAGTGGGTACTTCGAAAACACTAGACAGAATAAAACCCAAAATATTTAGTATGGAAACCAAGATTCTACATGGTTTGGCACCAACCTCCCATCACTAATCACCGCTACCACGTAAGATCCTTGCTCCAGCCACATCTACAGCTGTTTCCCCAGATACCTGTTGTCTGACCTCTGTGCCTTTGTATTTTCTGTTGCTCTACCTTAAATACTCCTCCCTCTCTTTTCCCACTGGAAAATGCCATTTATTCTCCAAACCCAGCTGAAAAGTCACCTGCTCTCCCCAAGCAGGATTATTTACCACCCAGCATGGCGCTTCCACACCCGTTGTAAGTCTGGTTGTTACACATTGCCACAGGTATTGTCCCATTCTGTTTCCTTGATATCTCCCTGACTTTGCTGCCAGTCCCTCAAGGGCAGGGAGTGCATCCAGGAAACAGCTGCTCACCTACAAGCTCCTGGAAGGAGGTATAGGGCTTCATGCCAAACCTCTTGCGGTACTCATTGAAGGGCTGCAGCCGCAGCTCCCGAGACTCCCTGATGACATCCACAGCCACATGCAGGACGTGGTGATCCATGTTCCTGCCCCCACCGATCTGCCGAGAGATAAGCACAGCAGTGGTCTGGGAGCCAGGCCAGGCTGCCCCGGAGACTGGGTAAAGTCCTGAGGCAAGAGCTTCCCATGGGAGTCCTTTCTGAGCTAGGATGGAGAGCGCTGAGCAGCCTGGCAGCCGTGATGCTACAGACCTGGCCCCAGGCCTGCTGCTGTCATGCTCTCTCAAGAAACCCCTCTGAGTCTCAGCTTCCCAAGTTTTGTGGGCTTTTTTTTTTTTTTTTTTTTGAGACAGTGTCTCACTCTGTTGCCCTGGCTGGAGTGCAGTGGCATAATCTTCGCTCACTGTAGCCTCAACTTCTCAGGCTCAAGCCATCCTCCCAGTTCAGCTTCTCAAGTAGCTAGGACTGCAGGCAAGTGCCACCAGGCCTGGCTAATTTTGTTTTATTTTATTTTTGTAGAGGGGAGGTCTCACTATATTGCCCAGGCTGGTCTCAAACGATCCTCCCACCATGGCTTCCCGAAATGCTGGGATTGCAGGCATGAGCCACCAAGTGTGGAGTGGGCCAGGAGGACCTCTCTTGTGGCTCACACTGTTCCCCAATCCTTTGAATTACACCAACAGGTGTAATTTCACAGGGTGGGAAAACAGGATTCAAAGCCCAGGTAGCCTGGTGAGATAAAGATGGCTGCAGAAAAAGACTCTGATTACTATCAGTTAAGGCACATTAGTCTAAAGAAAGCTCTAGTGCTGGCCAGGCACGGTGGCTCATGCCTGTAATCCCAGCACCTTAGGAGGCCAAGGCGGGCAGATCACTTGAGATCAGGAGTTCAAGACCAGCCTGGCCAACATGGCAAAGGTTCATCTCTACTAAAAATACAAAAATTAGTCTGGTGTGGTGGTAGGTGCCTGTAATCCCAGCTACTTGGGAGGTTGAAGCAGATGAATCGCTTGAACCCAGGAGGTGGAGGTTGCAGTGAGCTGAAATCACACCACTGCACTCCAGCCTGGGCAATAGATCAAGACCTCACCTCAAAAAAAAAAAAAGGTGGCTCCCGCCTGTAATCCCAGCACTTTGGGAGGCCAAGGTCGGTGGATCAGGAGGTCAGGAGTTCAAGACCAGCCTGGCCAACACGGTGAACCCCATCTCTACTAAAAATACAAAAATTAGCTGGGCGTGGTGGCAGATGTCTATAATCCCAGCTACTGGTGAGGCTGAAGCAGAGAATTACTTGAACCCTGGAGGCGGAGGTTGCAGTGAGCAGAGATCGCACTGCTGCACTCCAGCCTGGGCAACAGAGCGAGACTCGGTCTCAAAAAAAAAAAAAGAAAGAAAAGAAAGCTCTGGTGCTTTGGAAGAAATAATAACGTTAATGTTTAAGAGATAGTCATTTTGATAGAACAGCATAATTGGGCAGAAAAGAAAGGCATGGTTGGATAAAGTCATAAATCATAAGAGCAAAGCAAGCAATTCTAGCTTTACAATCTACAGAGCTATTGAGAGTTGAACTGTGTTTTCCAAAATATTAAATATGTTGTGAAGTCCTAACTGTCTGCATCCGTGAATGCATCCTTATTTGGAAATGAAGTCTTTGCAAATGTAATCAAGTTAAGATGAGACTCTACTGGATTAGGGTGGGCTCCAATCCAATAAATGATGTCTTTATAAAATGAGGAAAGACAAGCTCAGGGAGAGCACCACCGGATGATAGAGGCAGAGATGAGTGATGCACCTGCAGGCGGAGGAACGCCAGGGACTGTCTGCCACCATCAGAAGCCAAGGAGGCATAGAGCCTTGAGAGGGAGCGTGGCCCTGCTGACACCTTGAATTCAGACCTCCAGCCTCCATCTGTTGTTCTGAGCTTCCCAGTTCATGGTACTTTGTTGCAGCAGCCTGAGGAAACTAAGCTGAGGGACCTTGGGCAGCTACTGGAGCTAAGTTTGAGTTCCTGCATATGTAAAAATGGGGAAGGGAAGAGCATCTTCCTGATATGGCTGTGGTCAATCTAAATGAGATAAACTATGCAAAGCTGTTATCTCAGTGTCTGTCACATGGGAACTATCATTATTCACACTTCTTAATATCCTGAGAGTTGCCTGTAATCCCAGCACTTTGAGAGGCCTAGGTGGGCAGATTGCCTGAGCCCAGGAGTTCAGGACCAGCCTGGACAACATGGCGAAACCCCATCTTTATTTTTAAAAATCTTGGGAGTCAATACATCTCTGTGGCCTTTCTGCCTTGTGCCAGGTACAATGCAAGGGCTTTTCACACATATCATTATGGTCATTCCTTGAAAATGCTTTGAAAACCATCCAGCCCCACACAAAGGCCATTGTCTCTGTTCCTGTCTTGTGTCCCCACAAAGAACCATAAAGAAACACACAAAGAGGCCATAAAGCAGCCAGCAGCTGCACACCAGCAACAGCAATGCTAATTTCAGTCAAATTACCAGAAGGAAACAGAAACTCATGTGTGCCACAACTTCACGGCAGGATTTAGGGACAAGGATTAGAGAGAAGCAGAGGACTGGGAGGCAACAGGGGAGTCAGAGATGGGATGAAGCAGATGGGTGCTTCTGAATGTGGAGAAGGGGAGATCAAAGAAGGAGCTGGCTAGGAATTCCGAGAAAAAGAATGAGTTCGCTTGCCATGATGAAGTACCACAGACTGAGTTCTCAAACAACAGAAATTATTTCCTCCATCTGGAACAGTTTAAGATCAAGGTGTGGGCAGGGTTGGTATCTCCCGAGGTCTCTTTCCTTGGCTTGTAGACAGCTGTCTTCTCTCTGCGACTTCATGTAGCCTTCCCTCTGTGTGCGTGATCTAATTTCCTCCTCCTCTTATAAGGATGTCAGTCACATGGGATTAGGACCCACCCTAATGACCTCAATTAAACTTAATTACCTCTTTAGAGACCTTGTCTCCACATACAGTCACATGCTAAGGTTCTGGAGGTTAGGACTTCAACATATGAACTTTGGGGGAGACTCAATTCAGCCCATAGTAGAGGCTTATGATTTAATAAACACCATAGGCAGGTACTGTTACCTATGTCACCATGCCCTGAATGTCCTCCTGTTCCTTACATTGCCATGCCATCAGACTTCCAGGCTTTTCACCCACACCGTCCTCTCTATCTGGGACACAGCCATCCCTTGCCACTAACACCACCTCTTACCCTGGGAAATCTCTCTCCCTCCTTCTGATTTCTGCTCAGACAACACCTTCTGTTCCCATAACCCCCAACTCTGGGTCAGAATTCCCTCCCTGACTCCCACAGCATGGGTTTCTTACATACTCTCAGAATTCTGATAACATAGGAGAAGCTCTGAGCACAGTGCCTGACACACAGTAAGGGCCCTAATGCTGTTAGCTGTTACATGACTGCCACCACTTTCTAGGGTGTAAGCACTAAAAGATGAGCCAAGAACCACATAGGTCTTGTTCCCACTACATCCTCAGTCCCTGTAGTAATGGCTGGTATTATGGAAGGAACAAATAAAGAATTCAAGCAGGAATGCTTACAACTGCCCTGTGAAAGTGACATTACCCCTATTTTACAGAATAGGAACCTGGGACTTGGACCCAGGTGTGCTGGATCCCTCAGCCCACCTGCCCTCACCAGCATCCCTCTGGGGCTTACCCGGCCAGCGCTCTGGCGAGAGAAGGCATCCACCAGGGCCTCAACCCCGTAGTCCACCAACATGGAGGTGTTGAACAAGAACTGCTCATAGCTGTACTCCCGGGAGCCCACCTTGAAGGAGTCGGGCATGAGGGGGTGCCAGTGGTAGAGCTGGTTGAACTCCAAGGCAATGCGGTTGCGGTACTGGAACTGGACACCAAAGAGCAGCTCTGGGTCAAACTTCAGCTGCAGGAAATAGCCACTCAACTGCTGCACGTACTCCTCGATAACAATCTTGATGGTCTCTCCTGGGCAGGGGAAGATTGGAAATCAGGTCAGCCACGCACCATGAATTAGATGCCCAGCTTGGAAAGCAGCCCAGTTCATGAGAAGAGCTTGCTTTTGGTCTGTTTGTTGTTGTTGATGATGTTTGTTTTTAGCTTTAGAGACAAGGTCTTGCTCTGTCACCCAAGCTGAAGCCTAGTGGTGTAATTAGAGCTCACTTCAGCCTGGACCTCCCAGGCTCAAGCAAATCTGCCCACTTCAGCCTCCCAAGTAGCTGGGACCACAGGTGTATACCATCACACTCAGCGTTTTTTTTTTTTTGTTTTTGTTTTTGTTTTTAAGAGATGGGGTTTTGCTATGTCGTCCAGGCTGGTCTTGAGCTGCGGACCTCAAGCACTCCTCTCACCTCAGCTTCCCAAAAGTCCTGGGATTACAAGTATGAGCCACCACACCTGACTCACTGTTGATGTCTAATTTTGTTTGGCTACTTCCGTTTTGTCTCCTTGTAACAGGATGTGAAAATAGAACTTCTGGTCTATTTTGACTGAGGTCTCAAGACAAGAGCACCAGCTACTCCCGCATTTCAGAGGGAGATTCTAGGCCAGCTAAGCAGGACATCCAAAGGAGGTGTCCAAGAGTTGGTTTTGTGACCTCCCTCCCAAAGTCCATTAAAAGAAGTTGGAGAGACTATGAAAGATGGAAAAGTGGAGGATTTATTTGGGGAAAGTTGTCTTCATCCTGACAACCTCGGCGAAGGAGGGGGACTTCGAGGAGACCACTCAGAGCTGCTGCAGTGGCAAAAGAGATACCAAGGACAGAAGGGGAGCCTAGCCCTAAATATATTTCAAAAAACATATTTCCTATCCATTCTTATATAACAGAATTCTTATAAATAAATTTTTCCTCTCTCCCCTTTGTAGCTATAAACAGCTAGAAAGCAAAAAGCGAGGAAAGAGACAAATTGAACATTCTGCAACCAAATTAAAACTGGGCAGGTAGATATTGAAAGAAAATGATATTTAGGCCAATTAGCCATTAGACAAATTGGCTTTTTCAAGTTGTCTTGGAGCCGCAGACTGTGGGATTGGCAGACCTGGATTCAAATCTTGGCTTTACCATTTCCAGCCATCTGAGCTTGGGCTCAGTTACTTAATCCCTCAGAACCTCACTTTCCTTAACTATAAAATGTGTGTCATAATACTATTAGTGCAGCCAGGCACTGTGCCTCACACCTGTAATCCCAGCAGTTTGGGATGTTGAGGCAGGCAGATCATCTGAGGTCAGGAGTTCAAGATCAGCCTGGCCAACATGGTGAAACCCCATCTCTACTAAAAATACAAAAATTAGCTAGGTGTGGTGGTGGGCACCTGTGATCCCAGCTACTCAGGAGGCTGAGGCAGGAGAATCACTTGAACCTGGGAGGTGGAGGTTGCAGTGAGGCGAGATCACACCATCACACTCTGCCTAGGCAACAGAACAAGACTCCATCTCAAAAAAAAATAAATAAATAACAATGTATCGATGCAATACTATATTAGGGTTGTTGAGAGAAGTAGACAGTAAATACAGTGAAATTGCTGGCACAGCCCCTGGCATAAGAGGGGATGTCCATATATGTCAGCCAGAAGTAGGAATACTAAGTGTAGATGCAAGGGGAGAATCCCTTTCCAATACTCCCTTGTCATGGACGATCAGACTGAGGCTTGCAACCCCTTCCCATTCAAGAAGAACCCCCCTTGTGATGGAGTGGAAGTAGCATACATTTTGGTGGCAACCAGACCTCAAGTCTCCATCAGCTGAGTGTCCCTGGAGAATTCACTTAACCTCTCTGAATCATGATTTTCACAGGGTGATCATACCAGGCTCATGAGGTTGCAGGGGAGTTCAGTGAAGCACGGGATGTGCGGTGGCCTAGGAGTCCTGCCTTTGGTCACGGCTTCGTTGCCAGCCAGTGTGCTGGGCAGCCTCCAGCTCTCTCTGGTCAAGGTCTCTGCGATGCTGAAACTTCAGAACCAGCCCCTCTTCCCTCTAATGACTGCTCCTATTCCCAGTGCCTGGCTCCTCATAGCTCCAGTAAATTAGGTCTATAATTGGGACCAGCCATGCCCAGTGGTGCCCAGAGGTGGGGGAAGGGAGTTACTGGTGACTCATAGCAAATATGGTCAGGACAAAGATGTCAGGGGCCAAGCTCCCAAGCAGGAAACCATCTGACATTTTATGTTGCAGACTCGCCCCCGTAAAGAACACAAAAATATCCTGTCCCTGAGTCACCTAGAAGCTACCAAACTGCAGGAAGGTAGATATATGCAGGGAAGGGAACAGGAAGATTCCTGAAGTTCGGGCGAGCTGGAGTTTGATCCTGCACATGCTGGGGACCAGAAGTGTGCATCTGGGTGCAGCACACGGGGTAAACTGAGACTCAGGGTGGCTAATCAGATGTGCTATGAGTCACCCAGCTCATAATCAACCATCACAGTCATCCATTTTCTGAAGGCCTACTCTGTGCATGACCTTCCAGGGCAGGGCAGGTCTGGAGTCCTCACCTATGAGGATGAGGCGGGTCGTCTGGAAGAGCTGCTCATCTCCCCAGGTGGGGTGCTCAGATTTCAGAAGGTCACACACACGATTGTGCTCGCGCAGCCAGAGCGTGGCATACAGCATGAGCCCGGGAAGCAGCCCAAACACCTCCTGGCCCACGGCCATCTGGCTCTGGGGCGGGATGCCTCGAGGGTAGCGCATCAACACAGGCGCCTCTTCTACGGAGGGAGGGTACATTTCTCCGTCCAGCACCTGTGGGATGGGGCCGCCTGGCAACCTGGGGTTGGGGGGGTCACCCGCAGCTGCCCACAGCCGACCCCCTCCCATTCCTGCCTCCAGCTGCCAGTTCCCCTCAGCCAAGGCTGTTGACTCCACCTCCTAAGTCTCTCGTAAAATCAGTCCCCTGCTCTCCATCTCCACCACCACCTCAGGCAACCCACCCTCATCTTCCACTCTGACTCCTTTCCCTAAGTGGGCTCCCTATGTCTACTCCTAGCTCCAGATGGGCCAGTTTCTACTGTTTTTTTGCACCCAAGCAAAAAAAGAAAGAAAAGGAAAAAAAAAACCTTTAAAAATAACAAAATCTTGCATCATGAGCTGACTTAAAACCTTTCCAAATACTCTCTGCTCTTGGCAGAAACTAGAATTCCTTAACATGGTCCCCACAGACATCTCTACCTTCCCATAAAGTCATTCTTACTCTCTTGCTGATCACTAGGCTCAGCAAACCCTCCCATTCCTACAATCCCTCCAAGTCACCAAGCTGTTCTCTACCTCTAAGCCTTTGTACTTGCTAAACCCTCTACCTGGAAAGCCCTCTCCCATTCTTAGCATCCCTAACTCCTCCTCATCCTTCATGCAATTCTGGGCTTATTCGTAACTTCCTAGGGAAGTTTTACCCATCATCCAAACACTCTAGTGGCACTAACAGCTTCTGCTTGGTGGCAGCTACAAGTATACCTAATTATATGGCAGCTTCTTCATTCATTCATTAAATATATACCAAGAGACTACTATATGCCAAATGTTATTCTTAGCCATAAAGATTCAGCATCGAATTTTGCTTTGGTGCTTACCTAAGATTTGCACGATCCAGTATGGCAGCCATTAGGCCAGTGTGGCTACTGAGCACTAGAAATTTGGCTAGTGTAAATGAAGAACTGAATGTTATTTAATTTAATTTATTTGGTTTTTTTTAAATTTCTATTTGAATTTTAAAACTGATACTTCAGTTATTGGAAAACCTTTAAGTATGTGTGGAACAACTTGGGCATGTGACTCTACTTCAGCTGTGCATTTTATGAAATCTAAATACAGAGTCCATCACTCCAGTGAAAACTGGGCATCCAAATTGAGATGTCCTGTGAGTGTGAAAAATACACCAGATTTCAAAGCTTCAGCACGAAAAAAGAATGTGAGCTGTTTTATTAAAAATGTATTGACTACATGTTAAAATGCTAATAATCTGGACATATTGCCTTAAGTAAAATATATTATTAAAATCCATTTCGCCTGTTTCTTTTCTCTTCTTTTAATATGGACATTAGAAAATTTTAATTATGCATGCAGTTCACATTATATTTTCGCTGGACAGTGCTGATTTAGACAAAAGCCCTCACAGAATGAGCATCCTAGAGTTTGTCTGTGGTTTCTTGAGGCCAGGGCCCAAAACTATAATGGTCATTGCTCAATCACCTGTGCCAGGTATATTCTTGTGTCCAATAAATACTATGGAATAATTAAATAAATAAATGCAGACTACAAATGTTTATCTCCTATTGAGCTCCAAAGTCCACCTCCCCAGCTGACACAGGGGGGCCATGTCTGCTCCTCATTGGTTTCTCATACCTGCTGCCTCCTCCCAGGGTATGCTGTCGCTCCTGGCACATGCCTCCTACTCCTGGGGCTGGCCCTCTCAGAACATGACCCAGACCCCCCAAGCAGTCTTCGCCAGGGAGACCATGGGAGACCCTCCCCTCTGCCCTACTTTCTAGCCCAGCACTACCTGGTACTTGAGTTTCCCATCCTTAAAGAGCCGCAGTTGATACTGACGCTCCAGATTGTCTCCATAAATGTGACCGAGGTCTACCTGTGGATAGAGAGGGGTTTCCTCTGGTCACCAGGGTTCTGGCCCACTGTCCATGACATGTGTGTGCCAAATTAGGTCCAGAGCAGTCCTGAACACCTCCCAGGAACTCACCCCATGACCCAAGGCCTTGGTGAAGCCAGGACCCATCTTGCCAGAAGTTTTGAAGAACTGGTGGGTGAAGTGTTGTGCAAAGAAGGCAAACATGAGGTTGGTGCCTTGGGGGTCAGGTATGAACTTCCTCCTGAGCAAGAAGCGGCGGGCCAGGAGCTGGGCATCTGGCAACTGCTTCTTCCCTGGTTGGGAGGTAGGAAACAGCAATAGCTTCTCCTGTCTGGACTTGCTGCCCTGGGGACATCTGGGCTCACTAGGCAAACTGGCCCAAGCAGGAACCCCAGAGTGGCCTCCTCAGGACCACCTCCCCACCACCACCACGTAACCCACTCTCTACCAAAAGACCCTAGAAGGATTTATGGGTGAAGTGGCATGATTTTTAGAATTTGATTTAAAATACTTTATAAAAATATGAGAGGAGAGAGATGAAATAAGATAAAGAAATTGTGGGTGTATGTTGAAACTGAAAGATGGGTACATCATGTATTCCGCTTTTCTCTCAATTTTTGTGTATATTTGCATTTATTCCATAATGAAACATTTCACCAAAAAGAAATAAAGAAAAAGAAAAAAACAAACATGAACTCCCTTGCCCTAAGTCCAGGTAGCCTGTGTTTGCAACTGACTATGCCATTTGCTAGCTGTGTGAACACAGATGAGTCATTTCATCACTCAGAGTGTCAATTTCTCCATCTTTCTTTTTTTTTAAAGACAGGGGTTTCACCATGTTGGTCAGGCTGGTGTTGAACTCCCAACCTCAGGTGATCCACCCACCTTGGCCTCCAAAGTGCTTGGATTACAGGTGTGAGCCACCACGCCCAGCCAGTTTCTCCATCTTTAAAAAAGGCCAAATGATACCCATTTGATACAGTGAATCTGAGGATTGCAAGAGATAATGTAAGCATAGCAGAGAACCAGTTGGTAGAATTTTTTAAATCAAAGGTCAGCAAGCTTTTTCTGGAAAAGCCAGGTCGTGAACATTTTACGCTTTGCAGACCATACAGACATGTCACGTCTATTATAGCAGGAAAGCAGTCACAGATGACACATAAACAAATGTGTCTGGCTGTGTTCCAGTAAAACTTTATTTACAAAAGGGGAGGTGAGCTGAGTTTGGCCTGCAGGCTGTGGTTTGCCAACCTATTTTACTTATTTATTTATTTTTGAGACAGGGTCTCACTCTATTGCCTAGGCCAGACTGCAGTGGCATAATTATGGCTTACTGCAGCTTCAACCTCCTGGGCTCAATTGATCCACCCACCTCAGCCTCTTGAGTAGCCGGGACTACAGGTGCACACCACTACACCCAGCTAACTTTTGTATTCTTTTGTAGAGAATAGGTCTCACCATGCCATCCAGGCTGGTCTCGAACTCCTGAGCTCAAGTGATCCACCCACCTCAGCCTCCCTAAGTGCTAAGATTACAGGCATGTGCCACCACACCTGGCCCTGTCAACGTATTTTAAATGATGCCAATCTTTCTATGTCTGGGGTAAAGACAAGCCATCCTTAGATTAAGTATTGAGAGGCCTTCCTTAACTATGTCAGTTCAAATGAGTTGTTCCCCAATGCCCTCACAGAAAAGAATAGAATTTTTTGAGTTCTAGTAAAGGCATCTCTTCACAATGCATCATCATGTGAGCCCTGATGTTGAAGGTTCAAGATCAACAGAAATTATTTGGATGGCTGACTGGGTTCCTTTGGCAGGAAAAATATCAGTACTGCTAAAGAAAATCCACCAAAAGGGAAGTTAGAGCGAGTGATCTGCCAACCAAAATTTGGAATCATCACTCACTGACACTGGGAAAGAATTGATTTCAGCAAAGTTGGCAAGACCCAGCTATCATGGTAGAATGGTCATGCTTTGGGAATAACAGCTAACCATGTGATTGAATAACGGCAGTGTAGTGCTCCCAAGACCCGCATAGGGGACGTTAATACAGGTGCAAGGTTCTGAACCCGTAAAAGCACACAACCCACATAGGGGACATTAATACAGGTGCAAGGTTCTGAACCCGTAAAAGCACACAAACATGGGGCTGGCATTCAACAGCGCCATCATGTGGCAGGAACTGAAGTACAGCAGCAATGGACTGACGAGCCTCTCATGCCTTCTCTGTACTTGAAGCTGAACTGATGGGTCTCAAATGAGTAATATCCCAGGTTTTTTAATAATTAGGAGTGTCATGGGAAAGTCTTACAAGGAAAATCCCTGCCAGTGTGGTCAAGTGGAGTCTTGAGCAACAAAAGGAAAAAATGTGACTTAGTTGTACCCTATTCTGGTGAAGCATGTAAAACTATTTACATTTGTAAAGAACCAAACACAAAGTTAGCACCCAATAAATAGCTCACTATTCATTCCTTCCTCATCTCAACTTCTAAGCCACTTCCACCCTAGCAGGACCCGAGTCATCATTAAAAATGGCTTAAGCAAAGAGGCACCCTAGAACTATGGAAACATTGATCTGACTCTAGGTGACCTCAGGCAAGACCCTCTGCTGCCCTTTCCTGTTCTCAGCCCAGGCTCTGGACATGTCATATGTCTTGCCTTGGTCTAGCCATCTGCAGAATGGGTCAATAGTTGTTCTTCTGCTTGATTTTTCCCAAAGAGAACTGAGCACCTCCTGTTATCCCCAGGCCCAGCTACTCATCCCGTTTTACCTTTGGTTCCCATGGGTGTGGGGCAGTCTTTAGGCACAGAGGGCAGAATACGAGTGTAATAGCTAACATTGGAGAAAGACTCCCAGCTGATGTAGTCATGTGCTGCGTTGTAGGTGGGCGGACTGGGGATAAGGTTGGAGCGCACTGCAGAAAGCAAAAATATTAGCGATAATGGTGTTTCCACCCTGAGTTCCACCCATTTCTTCCTGCCTCCTCCTGGGTTGAGGCTTATTTTATCTGGCATCGTAGATTTGTCCAACCCACTACCCTTATCAGATGCCAAGAATCCAAAGGACTAGCAGGATTGCTTGCTCCCCCAGATCAGGGGCCCTGCCCCATACCCACCTGTGAGTACCAGGCGCATGAGCATCTCTCGGATGAAGGTGGCATTGACAAACTCCCAGAACCAGCGCCCATGCGTGAGCAGGAAGTGTGTGAAAGAGGGGCTGGGCCGCAATGAATTCCGGAGCCAGGTCCACAGCTCAGCTGCAGGGGCATGGGGAATGACTCAGTTGGTCCCTCCTGGCAGGACCCGAAGTAGCCAGGGTGAAAGATGGGGCACTAAGGACGAGGACTGGGATGGAACAGGGTAGTACCTATGGGGAAGCGGGTAAGGATGGAACCTTGGGAGCGATGACACATGACAGAGCCGGAACGAGGCATGAGGACAGGGGTCAGGGCATGAGGTGAAGACTCCCCATGGAACCCAGAAGCAGGGAGGGAGGGTGAACCAAGAATGAGAGTTCATACTGAAGCCAGGTCATAGACAGGGGCAGAGCCAGGCAAGGAAGGAGAACAGAGCCATGGCCAGAGAGGAGGGTAGGAAGTTGGGGTCTAGGAGAAGGGGCCCAGGGAGCAGGAAGGCTCAGGAGAGAAGGAGTGGGGGCTGAAGGCCCAGCTCACGGATGGTGCAGTTGGGGCCAGAATAGCCCGTGCGGGTGCAGTCACACTGGTAGCCGTCAAGGCCGAAGCGGACACAGATGCCCTGGTGCTGGCATGGATAGTAACAGCAGGGATTCACTGTGGGTGAGAAACGGCGATCAGAGACTGTACAAGGGTGGCCTCCTGACCCCCATCCAGCCGTGATGGGGGAATGAGGGGCCAGAAACATGGACTTGAACTGCAGCTCCGTCCTGAATTACTGGGTGCCAGAGCTTCAGAGTTCCCCCAAGGGCCCTCCCTGTTCCCACCACTATGAAAATAAACCCCCCACCCTGCCATTTCCAGGCCCTGCTCTGGAACTCCAGCCTAGCCCACATCAGGCCCCCGGGGGATGTCCCCCTCCCTCCCTATTGCCACCAAATGGGGAAGAGTCCAGAACCCAGGCTGTGACACTGAAGGAAAGAGCTGATAAGACACCACAGCCGTAGGCTTCTAGAACGTTTGCTTCCTGCCTAGTCAGAGTCCGGCAGCAAGGGCATGGCAGGGTGGGGGGATGGTCAGAAAAGGGACAAGGATGGGGAGGAGGACTTCAGACCACCACCCCAAGCTCTGAGCATCCGGACACTAGGAAAACGAGATGCCTCACCATCCCTCCGTTTCTGCAGAAGGGAGAGAATAGCAGGTATCATATGCCCACATTGCAGATGGGGAAATTGAGGCCGGAAAAAGGGAAAGCCAGACCAATCACCCCACAAGTCTCACCAGGCAAAACGCCCATCACCTCCACTCCACCCCCACAGCCTCAGCAGCCAAGTCTAAAGAAGAAGTTTTCCAGAACCCTGGGGACAGAGGGTGGGTGTGCAGGAGGAGGGGAACTCCAAGTTCTCAGCTGCCTCAGCACCCACTCAGGTGGGCTCAGACTTGGCCCACATCAGGGTAGGGTCCGCACTCGAGGATCCTGAGGAAAGTTACAGACCAAGAGAACAGGAGACACAGGGCTGGAAAACCTCCTCAGAGGACGCGTGGAGCTCTGACATCCGCCCTGCTGCCTCCTGAAGAGACCGTAAGGAAGTCCCTCCCTGCATCTAACCCAGATCCCTCTGACTGCCACCCCCTTGCTAAATCTGCACTGCCTCAGTGATTCTTCAGCAGCAAAGTGAGAGACTCCTCAGGTTTGGTAGGATCTGCCATCCCCCCTCCGCCCCCCGCCACCACCCCTGCTCAGTGAAGGAAACTGAGGTTCAGGGAGAGAAGACAACTTGGCCAAGGAAAACAGAACAGAGCCAGGCAGACCCAAAACTCCAAGCTCCTGGCAGGAGGCTCCTTCTCTAGCCTTACACAGAAAACGCCTAGCTCCCTTCTGCAAACATATTTCCTTATCTGGCCTCAAAGCCAGCGTCATAGGGAACGTGTATTCTTTGTGCAACTGGTTATTGTGGGTCAAAAGGGTAGTGAAAGGCGGGAGCAGCTGAGGATGAAACACTGTCATTTCAGGGTGCTAGGGTCAGAGAGCATGACCCTGGGCAAGGCCTGCCCCCTAATCCCACCCTGGTCCCAGTCTCCTCACTTTACAGCATAGGGCTTAACCTGGGCAGCAGAGTCCTTTTGGTCCCCACCTCAAAGAGGGCAACACCCCCCCGCCCACACACACACACACACACACACACACGCACACGCGCGCGCACACACACGCACACACATACACAAGCAAGGACCACAAGGATTATGCAAATAGTTTTGCTTAAGGGCAACTCCCCACAGCCCCACAATGGCCCCAGCAGGGGTGTAGGAGGGAGGGATCCAGGGAAGAAGGCTGAACAAAAAGGCTTTATCAGGCAGCCACAGGCGAACCTGGCAGGCAGGATCCAGGGAAAGGGCCTGGCAGCATCCCAGCCCCCGCCTCCCCCAGCCACAGGCCCAGAAAGGCTCAGAGATCTGGTTCCCCCCAGAAAAGAACTCTCCTCCTTGCCCCTCCTGCTGGTCTGGAGCCCCTGTAGTGCCTATTCCTCAGCTCCCAACCCTGGCACCCAAGGCCCCCTAGGCCAGTCCAGCTCTATCACTCTAAGGGCACAGGGGTTAGGCCTACCCCAGGATCAATTTCCCATCCCTACCACAGCACAGATCTCAGAATGAACTCCAGAGGTCCCTGCAACTCCAACATTCTGTGCTACCCCTCCCCGAGCCCCAAACCCTCAGTGTCTCCATCCTTTACCCAGGCTGTTGGCCTCCTTAATACATTCCCTCCAAATCAGCTGAGCCTACGCCTTGCCTCCCCCAAAAGGCTTCCCCGAATGTCCATACTCTCCCTCCTCCCACTCTCCCTTGCCCTGGCTCTGGGTTCCAGTTCAACCTGCTCTTCTCCACCGTAAGCTTCCAGGAGAAGGGACTCCCTTCCCTTCCCCAACTTTCTCTTCCCTCAGCACAGGCTATGCACACAGCTGGGGCTCAACCCAGGTCTGGGATCCAGATGTGGTAGCCAGAATTTAACAAATGTTTTTGGAATAAATAAAGTGAAGTGGGGAGATTGGCCCACCACCAGCCTGACCAAAGGGAGTCCCTCATCTTCCGTGCCCCCTCAACGGCCGTCTGAGGTGGAGCCAGAAGGCCTCCTGCCTTGGCCCTAGAGCTCTGTCCCAGCAGGCAGAAGAGCTGCAAGCTCCAGACGTTGAAGCTAGAACTGCTGCCCACACCCTTCCCACCAAGAGAGGCTGTGCAGAGCTGAGGCTCCTCCCTGCCAGGCCAGCCGTCCAGCTTCCCCCTCCTTCTCCCCCACGTTCTCTCCATAAACACCAGCTGTTCTGGGGTAGGGAAAGTTCTCCCAGGAAGGACAACAGTGGGCCTGCCGCTGGTGCCCCAGGGTTTCAGGGTGGGCAGAGAGGAGACTGGGTGCCACTAGACCACAGCCAGACCCTCACAGTCCAGCCAGAAAGCCTGGGCTCTAGCCAACCAAGTCCACAACTTCCCACATCAGCACTCATTTATCTTCCCAGCATTCCCTAGGACAGGTAGGTGAGACTCCCCATTCCGCAATGAAGAATGCGAGACCCAGAGAAAGCAAGAGGCTTGCTCAGGTTCTCCTGCTTTGAAGTTGCAGAGCCAAGACTTGAACTCCCTCCTCCTCCTCCTGGAGGTGCCCAGGACTGGATTTGGGGAAGGGATGGAAAGGGAGACTCACTTTGATGCACAGACTGGGAATAACCCAGGTGAGGAAGATGTGTCACATTCCTTCAAAGTGAACCTCGAAAATCCTGAACGAATGAAACCAGGACCCCAGAGGGATCACCATCTCCTGCCACAGCCGGACCTTTAGGAAGTATTCATGCAGGAAGGCCTTCCTTCAGTCAACTTCAGTCCTGCATGTTTTCATACCAACTCAGTTTGGTGCTCAGTGGAGGAGAGCCCCACTCATGAAGAAAGAGAACCAGGGACATGCAGGCACCGAGTCTAATTCCCTTTGAGTCCCCCACACCCAGCACGTGGCCAGGCACCAAGTAGTTGCTCAGGAAAGCTGTATTAGAGAGTGGCTGCTCTGATTGGCTGTGCATCCTTGGGCAAGTCCCTTCCACCCCTGGAACCTCAATTTTCTGAAAATCCCATGAGGCAGGTGTAGCAGGTGGGCTAACGGAGTCCTTCCATTCCGATGACCAGGCCCTGTACTCTGAGTAGAGCCAATCTGTCCCTCTCCATTATTTGTATTGATACAACCCTCCACTCACGGCCCCATCAGCAGAGAACCTTTCTGCTTGCTGTCACTGAGTCCCCAAGACACGCAGAGGCAGGGATGATCAGCACAGCACACTGCACACAAGACACACACACCCGAAAGGCTGAGCTGCTAATCCCCATCCCCACAGATGAGGGCTGTCCAGGACTGCCTGGTTCCAGAACCTTTCCAAGCGTTTAAGCAAGGAAAGATCACCTAGCCCAAAAGTCAAAACTACAGGTCCAGGACCAAGCGTGACTAAGGGACAGGCACAGCCAGGGAACACCAAGTCCTCCAGGATGCGGAGGCGTCAGGCTGCACTACTGCCCAGTGAAGAGGCAGGACCCAAATCCCCTAAAGAATAATATTTAGAGAGGCTCTGGGGACCTGGCAGCCAGAGAGAAAAAAGGCGGGGGACCCTGACTGGCCCAGCCTGGGCCGCAGTTCCCACACCTAAGCACCACTGCACCAGACTCAGACAGCTGGGCCCCGCAGCTGGAAGAGCCTTGGCGCAGCTGGGATCTTGCCCCACGTGCCAGGGTCAGCTGGCCTGAAGCCCCTCCTAGTACGCAGCTTTGATTGCCAGGTCATGCCCTATCCCAATCTAGGAGATGGGCACTGAGTCAAGTCCAGGGACTGGAAGGGAAGGACTTGAGCATTCAGGGTTCCCCGCCCGGCACAGCCTTGCCTCCAGGCTGGCCTCCATCTCCTTCCCCACCAGAGAGGCGGAAGCAGCATTCTCTTCTTCATGTGGCCAGCACTTTAAAGTTTACAAAGGTTGGTTGTAGACATCCACTTCTTTGGTACTCTCAACAGCCCTGGCAGAGAGATGCGTTAGACCCACTCTACAGAACGGGACTCTGAGGCTCAGAGGGAGTGAGGCCACTTGTCTGAGTCCTCAAAGTGAGCCGGTGGTAGGAAGAAGAGGCTCATCAGGCTGTCTCGCTGACCCAACAGTCAGTCCCTGGATCAGCCCAGCACTTCCTCTGAGGCCCCATCTGGCTCCATCCAGGCACCCTGGGTATACAGCCTGCCCTCTCAGGTGAGTGCAGCCCTCGTCTCTTCATCTCCGTTGCCTCTAGTGGCAAAACACAGGCTTTGGTTTCCTGGAGCAGATGTCGAAGTAGCTTGGGCATCAGTTTACTGACAGACTTGGCAATATGAGGGCAACCCTGACCTTCTGCCCCTACACTCCACCTGTCATTTGCTCTTTCCTAGATCCTTGCAGGAGCCTCGGTACCGGTTTTCTGGCCTCCAGTCTCATCTCCGCGTGACGCATCCATCCTCAGTCTCCTGCTCCCAATTACCCTACGGTGTTTCGGTGTTTCCCCCGCCCTCTGCCTCCTTCAAGGTCCAGTCCAAATGTCATCAGATCCAAGAAGCCTCCCTCAGTTCTCTGCCCTGAGAGGCAGCTGCTCCCTCCCTGAGCTCCACACACTCCTGGTCCCCTTGCAGGATGACCTGTTGGCATTTCTGTCTCCACCATCGCCTATAAGCTCCTCTCAGCTCTGTGCCTCCAGGACCCAGCCAAGGACTGGCATAAACAAGCCCTTGGGAATGAAAAAAAAATTCCATTTAAACATTTATTATATAAAAGGAAACAAAAAAGGCAAGAAACCAAATAGCACAGACCATGGCTCATTGTGCATTGGTGAATGGACTAAAAAAGAAAACAGCGGGCAGGCTGTATACCCAGGGTGCCTGGATGGGGCCAGATGGGGCCTCAGAGGAAGTGCTGGGCTGATCCAGGGACTCATAAGATGGGTCAGCGAGGCAGCCTGATGAGCCCCTTCTCCTCTCTACCACTGGCTCACCGCAAGAACTCAGACAAGTGGCCTCACTCCCTCTGTGTCTCAGAGTCCCCTTCTGTAGTGGGTCTAATGCATCTCTCTGGCAGAGCTATTGAGAACAAAGAAATGGATGTCTACAACCAACCTTTGTAAACTTTAAAGTGCTGGCCACATGAGTCTTCTTTTCCTCCGCCCACAAACCAGACTTTTGTTCAACTGAAATCCTTTCCTAAAGCACCCTCCATCCTCTTTGGGTTCCCTAAACACCACCCACCCGAAGCCTCTCCTTCAGGAAACTTGGTTGGATCCCAAGTCCATGTGCATATCTTTCCTCTCTCCTCCACACAGACCCTTAGAGCACCACAGCAGAAAGCGCAGATCCTCTCTGCCCCCTCCTGCCCTCTCTGGGCCTCATTTTAGAGACTTTACACAGCTAGGTGGTGGAGGAAACTATGTCCAGCTGGGACCCACACGCGCGCGCACACACACACACACACACACACGCACACACACTCAGTAAGCTGGGGGAGGAAGGTTGGCTGAGTGAGGAGCTGAATTCCTTCACCTGGAACCTGGCACATGCACGGGGGAGGGAGGGGTGGAATTTCCCCATCGACCTCCCCAAGCGGCTCAGGGTCCATTGTGGGTAGAAGCGGCTTTCTGTGGAAAGACCTTGTGAAGTGTGCAGAGGCAGACAGACCTGAGTTCAGATCCTGGGCCCACCACGTATTGTGTGAGCTTGAGGGATCATGGCACCTCCTGAGCCTCAGTTTCCCCATCTGCTCAGTGGGGGCCTCCTAGGTGAGGGTTAAATTCCAGAGGAAGCATCCTGGCTCCTAATTGTATTTCCATCTCCCATCTGCTCCTGAAGTCTTCACCAGGGGAGACCGTCTCCATTGGCAATAGGAATCAGGATGGTTCCCAGACGGCAAGAGGCTGGAGAAAGGGAATTCATTTCCCCTTGATGCCTGTGGCTTCCTCCCAAAGAGGCCCCTATAGGAAACAGCGGGGCTACTGGGCGCGGAGGCTGCTTAGACATCTGGGGGCCCAGAACAGGTGAGGGGGATGGATAGGGACTGTCCCTTCTCCCCACGTCGGCACCGGATCCCAGTTTGCCGTTTCCTCTAAAAGAACTCGATAGCCCATTAGCCAAGGCTACACCCCCGGGGGGCTTCAGAGAGCTCCCATCCCACCAACAGACTCAGCCTCAGTCCCCTTGTTCACGCACCGCGAGCAGAAAGGGGAAGCTGGGCCCGCTGGAGGGGAGAGGAGGGGGTCGAACCAGGCCAGGGGCACAGGACCGGAAGTTACCGTGGGGAGAGATGGGGTCGCCTACCTGGCGTGGGCGCCCCGGGGTCCGCGAGCAGGACATGGGGCGGCCGCAGTAGGAGCAGGAACAGCGAGAACCGGAGCAAGAGACTCCCTGCAGAGGAGAGAGAAGAGGGGCTGAGCCTGGCATTCAAGGCTCTGCCAGGAGGCCAAGAAAATTCCTGGGCACGCGGGGAACGGGGGTCGCACTCACGGCTCATGGTGCGGCTGCTGGGGTGCGGGACGCAGACTGCAGGCTCCCGTGCTTGCGCCTCGCACACTGCCCAGAGCTCCGGCCCATCCCTCCCAACCCTTCCCCCGGCTCCACCCCCGCTCCTCCCTCCAGCTGTCACCTCGCCGCCAGCTTACTTCCTCTGCCCAGCCCTGGCCAAGGCGTTTTATTAATTAGTGTATAATCGTCACTAAGGCAGCTTTTCACCCGAGATCCTTGAAGCACTTGAGTTTCTAATGCCCAGTGGCACCAGATATAGACAGGAAACTGAGGCTCAGAGTCATGCTCAATGCTGAGGTCACCCAGGGCCTGGGGACAGAACTGAGGATGGAAACTGCTGGCCTGAACCCACACTCTGCCCCGCAGAAAAGAAAGGGGGCTAGAAACGAGGCAGTCCAGCCTGGTGTGCACGTGATTTCCTAGACAAGAAACTCACTAGTCCTCAGACAGAGCCAACGGAAGGACTTACTTCCCCCATGGGCTGGTCTCGGCCCTCTGAAGGCACATTTCTCTGCCATAAATGAAGAGATAGGGCTCCAAAGTACAAGAGAGCCTAGTTCAAATCCAGACTCCATAGCTTACTGGCTGTGTCACAAGGTACTTATCTTTCCTAGCCCTCAGTGTTCTCATCTATAAAATCGGCTCAATAGCAAAAACCATCCCAGAGGGTGATTGTAAGATTCAATTAGGTAATACACACAAATCTCCTGGTGCAGGGCCCAGCATGTAGTAGATGCTCAGTTATCAGGAGGCATTTTTTTCAAAGATCTCTGAACTCAGATTCCGGGGCTTGCCAGGGTCCATGCTCTAGCTTGACTCACATCCACCACTGAATTTTAGTGAATCCCAGCATTCAGCTCCCCTTTCTTCCAGCTCAGGAAACACCTAGGAGGAAGGGATAGGCCCAAAGTCACCCATAGTCTCCTGGTCCTGGCACCCACAAGTCCTCTCCCTGTTTCTCCAGCACACCCAGTGGGCACCCACATCCTGTGGGCCCCACAGTGGAGAAGGCTGGTGGGAGGGCTCAGAGTTTCTTGTGCTGGCTGCTGGGCATCACTGGGTGTAGGGTAGAAATTATGCCAGGTGGGAGAGGTGAGACCTGCTTGGAAGCCCCTCCCCATTCTCATTCAAGCTGTTCCCATGCTCCCCTGGGACAAAAGCCAGCTGCCCTAGGGAGACTGAGCAAGCCAGGGCAAACCTCAAGAAGGAATGGGGCAGGCAGAGGGCGTGGGGCTCTCATGGTGCCCAGACCAGCTTCAACCTTCCCTACCTCCCCAGATCAAGGACCTCCTGGCATTCACAGGGCAAGGAGATGGGATTATCAGCAAGAGGGTTGGTGACAGGGTGGAGGTATGGGGTTCAGTTGTCCAAAGAAAGGGGGACTTTCTGGTAAGAAGAAAGGAGAGCTGGGCTTGAATGAGGTTCCATCTTCCACTCCCAGGCCTCCCTCCCTTTGGGCCCTGAGCCCATCAAGTCACCACACCTGTGCCTCCTGACTTCCAAGCCACCCATCTGCACTCAAAACAAGAAACACTTGTGTGGCCTCAGCACTGATGGGAAGAGCCTTCCTGCCTCAGAATCAGAAGTGAGTCCAAGTCACTTCTTCCATGTTGTGACCTTAGACAAGCCTCTAGGCCTCACTGGGCCTCTGTTTCCCTGCTTGAACAACAGAATGAGCAGATCAGATGGCCTCTGAGGACTGGTCCAGTTCCAGCATGGAGCAATTGAGCCCTCACTGTGGCCAGGCTCTGCGATCAGCACTGCGGATGTCAACACAGCTGCGATGCAGGAGAGGACGGAGACTGAAAGAGCAGGCAGGGTGCTGGGGCAGCCCTCCAGGGATGGGGCTGGACCAAGAGCATGGAGTGGGGAGAAGTTAGATGAGAGAAATGGTGGCAGAAGTGCCAGGGCTTGGTGACCGATTAGCACTAGAGCTTAGGGGAAGAAAGGTACTGAGGACGCCTAGCTTTCTGGCTCAATGCTGGTGGTAATACCCAGGGAAGGGGAGCAGGCATGGGTGGGTGGAATTTGAATTTGGGCTTCTTGTGTTTGATCCACCTCAGGGGATGAGGAGGATCCAACCTTCCCTGCCTTCTCCCAGCTTGGCCCATGGACCAGCACCCCCAATAGTCCCAGCATGCAGCTGGATACACAGGGGAGAGGTCTGGGTTAGCCCTTGGCCCAGCCCTGGGAAAGAGACCACAGCACAGGGCCACTTTTGCCTGCTCCTTACTGTAAAGCCTATATTCTAAGTGTCTAGGACCGGTGTCACCATCCTAGTCCTCAGTATGGTGAGCTTCTACTCATAGGGCAAGTCCACCTCCCATGTCCCCTGGGAGGCCTCCTGTAACACCCCTCCTCCTCACCTTGCTCTCCTCTAGGAAGCCCATGTGCCTTCCCTGGCCACAGCAGTGCCACTCCTGACCACATTGTCCCTCTGTTCCCTACCCTCCCTTATGACGCTATGAGAGTCTTGGTCACTCTTGTAGCCCCAAGGCCAAGCACAGGATCTAGCACATAAAAGACATTCAGGGAATGTTGGTTGCTTGAACAAAGAAATGAATGAGTATCTGCAGGAGTTTTGAATGCATTAAAAAACAGACCAGGTCCAGGGCCAGCCTCATCAAAGTGACTGCCAACCCACCCATATGCTGTAACGACCACCAAAAGTATCACTGGCTGCCTCAGTTTCCCTGCCTTCTCCAGCTTGTCCCAGGGGCCAGGACCCCCAACTGTCCCACAGGTCCAGCTTCACCCCAGGCCCTGAGCCCTTCCCAGCTAAGGCAGCAAGGACCCCCTTCCCTGTACCCCACTGGTGACAAGCGGTAGGATTTCTCTCTGCATAGCCCCCTCCCCATTATCCACACCAATCACATGCCCTCTGCTCACCCTAGCTAGAGCCTGAATTGTAATGCTTCTGGAGAAGTCTCACTGCTGGGCCCCACCCACTATTTGGAAAACCAGAGCTGACTCTTACCTGAATCACTCATGGACCCAGCCCTACCCGGCCCCACCTCTGCAGGCAGCTTCACAGTCAGGCAGGAAGGCTCTGGACTCAGGATTATCTCTTCAAATCCCAGTCCCCATCCCCACCTGACCTCTCAGTGTGACCTTAAGCAGCAAACTGCCCCTTGTGGGCCTGTTTCCCCATCTGTAAAAATGGGGTTAATAATGCCACTCTTGAAAGAGTAGTTGTGAGGATGAGGTAAGCTGGTCCCCGTGAGCATCTCCAGCATTCAGTAGGAGCTCTGGCCCTCCCTTCTACTCCCTACCTGAACAAGAGGGTTCCATGTAAAATTCCCTTCCCCCTCCTCTTTACCTACTCAGAACCAGGCTAATGTTGACCATTGGAGGTAATAATAACAATATTTCTTGAATATCTACTATGTGCAGGACAGTGTGCTATGTGTTTTAAATGCACAGTTACATGTGATTTTCCTCAACAACCCTATGCAGTCAGTATTATCACTTCCATTTACAGAGAAAGAGACTGAGGCCCAGTGCTGACACAGTTTGTCCAAGGGAAGAGTCAGGTTTCAAGGCCCCACCCCTTTGTTCTGGAACACCAGGTACGTGTACCCAAGCCCCCACCTAACCAACCAGTGTTTGGAGTTAAAAGGAAGGGGAAATGCTTTGTTAGGGGGGTTAGTTGGCTTGTGGGCAAGGTGGGGGATCCAATTTAGGCAACATAGTTCAGCTGAGAACTGAGAGTCACAAACAAATGTTTTGGTTTTGGTTTTGTTGTTGTTCTGTTTTTGAGTCAGGGCCTCATGCTGTTGCCCAGGCTCGAGTGCAGTGCTGCCATCTTGGCTCACTTCAGCCTTGATCTCCTGGCTCAGGCAATCCTCCTACCTCAGCCTCCTGAGTAGCTGGAACTACAGGTGGACCTCACTATGCCCAGCTCATTTTGTTTTATTTGTTTTTCATAGAGACGGGGGTCTTGCTCTGTTGCCCAAGCTGGTCTTGAACTCCTGGGCTCAAGTGATCCTCCCACATTGGCCTCCCAAAGTGCTGGGATTACAGGCATGAGCCACCACACCCAGTGCACCAAATGTGTTTACACTGCATTCTCACTGAAACCCTCACAGCAGCTGGAAGAAGAAGGCATCGTGATCCCCATTTTGCAAAAGAGGAAAATGAGGCTCAAAGATTTCCCTAGATTATGCAGAGAGGGTGGTTAAAACTCCACCCGCCCTTCTTAATGGGCCCAGCCCCAGGAAACTCCCACTTCACATTTCTTTCACTAAAAGCATGTCCTTAAGAAGGGTGGGCAGAGTTTTAACCACTTCTGGAGCTCTTACCGTGGCAGACATCATTCTAAAGGTTTTTGGTGCATTGCCTTCTTGATCACTCCTAAGAGCCCATGAGGTAGATTTTTCTCTGTCCCCATTTTTGTAAACAGGAAAATTAACTGACTTGCTATAGCCTATACCACAGGCTATATATAGGTGGTAGAGCTGGGATTTGAGCCCTGGCCTGTGTGATTTGAACATTTACAAACGTAACTCCCTATCACACTCATCGCTGGTTCTCTTGGATCCCAAACCCTGAATACTTAAACAAACACCCAACTCCTGCCGGGGATGGGCCAAGAAAATAAACAAGCAAGACACTGTAAGTGGAGAGTCCCCAAGCTCATCTGGGGAGTTTCCACTGCAGGGTCCCCTGTCCCGCAGACCTCTGCACTAGGCAGCCAGCACCATCTGATTGGCACAGGATGGCGGAGTGGTCATGCCACGGCATCCTCCCCAGCCGGCCCCCACCATCAGTGTAATCTGCAGAGCATCAGACATCAGCTCCTGGGATCAGGGGACCCAGCCATCTGTGACGATCAAACCAGGGGAAAGAGCCATTGTCGGGCTAAGGGACATTGCTCAGGAAGTTGCTGGGGCTGTAAAATATCAGTCCTCCTCACCCCCTTCCTTCTCCACCGTAGCTGAAGGAAGAGGATGTGTTTCCACAGCTCTCCCCTGGCATGTGGAACACTCTCCTAATTCAGCTTAGAACCTTCAATAGCTCCCATCTTCCAGACCTCAGCCTGGTCTTCAGGCCCTGGCATTTGCTAAGCAGCAGGATATCATAGAAAGAGCCCTGGAACGGGGACCCAG